TAAGCAGAGGATTTTTAGGAAAGTGCTGGTACATCTACTAGATCTCTCTCTCCCCCTTTTTTCCAATTTATTTTATGGCTTTTGCTGAAATTGCGGAGGCCATTAATGCCAGGGGATCTTTGAGGGAGCTCCCAGAGGGAATTCTTCACACAGCTCCTAAATTGTAATTTCTTCTTTTTGTTTTGACAGGAGGACCATCTTATCCTCTGATCTCCCAGGACCATTTCTTCTGTTTCTCTAATCTGATCTTGTTCTTTTATAAGTTCTACAGCTCAGAAAAGGAGGAAAACTAAGTTTTTGGGTTTTCAAGGACACCCCTGAAAGCTTTCCCCCTGCAGGTTGTAATCTCAGCACAAATCTAACTACCAGCAGTGGAAACCTTTTTAAATGCATTTTGTCAGATTTGTGCTTTTCCCCCTCCTTTGTCTTTACATTCTGCCGTTGCCTCTCTCCATCTCTGCAATATTATCCCTCCCTCCAACCCTCCTCCACCCTCTTGTTTAGAAGGTGCAGCAGCATCAGGGGATTCGTCTTTTTGAAGTGTGTGATTAATTTCCCCTCTCAAGGTCTGTTTGTGTGTCCGTGTGTGCAAAGCCACTGTGTCCCATTTCTTACCTAAGCTCATTAGTACATGTGAGAAAATTTTTGTTTCTCCCCTCTCTCCACTCTCCCCTTAGTCCTCTCAGACTCACGTTCTCCTGCTTGCCTCTCTTCTTCTACTCCTTCTTTTATCCCATTACCTTCTTGTCCCTTCCCATCCTCCTCTTACTCCGTCCTTATTCTCTCTGTCTTCCTCACTCTCCTACACACACACCTTCTGAGATCAGATCAGAGAGGCCAATACTAACCACTGTCAGCTTGTCACAGTTCAGTTTGAGCCAGAATGTTAATGTAGTACAGTTCGTGCATAACAATGTGTGTCTGTGTGCTTTCAAGAAAAAGTCCCACCTACAGAATGCAACCGAACCTGTAATTTTTTTTTTTTTATGTGGATCAATATGTTTTCTCCAAAGGGGAAAAACCACTGTCTACTAGATACTGAAAACAGTAAAAACAAACTGGAACAATAATAACTAATAACAAAACCTGGTTTCACCATCAGGTTTTAACAATGATAGCGACTGTTATCTCAAGGTTTTGTACACAGGAGTAATAAGGGTTCATATTACGTCACGACTCCTTTCATGGAAAACATCATGGCACACTGAATGCTTTTTAGATGCTTTAGATAAAATTAAGATGGTTTCACCACCGGTTTAAAAAGCTGTCCACATTAAATTCATAGCCTCAGCTTGGTAACACTGGTGTTGAGAGACAATTCAAGTCAAACCTAAATTGCCAAACGTTGTGTCGGAATGTTGTGAGGTGTCCCAAATGCAGCATCGGTCAGTTTTTTCAGCTTACTATGACCTGGATGACTGAGAATCTGCACATACAAGATATAAAATGATCAGTTGTCTTGTCTGATGGCTAGTTTGGTTTTCTACACTCTACAGCCATCAGGCTTAAACTGTGTGGTCTGAACAGAAGCAGCTTTTACTTTGAGCGTGCACCAGTTCTGGTCATTTCATAGTGAACAAAGTCCTTGACAACGCTGAACGAGATATTTTTCCACCTTAGCCAAGTAGTTTTATTTTGACACTTGTGTATGAGGACTTGTTAACTCTGCTAGAGTAAACCCTAACAATTATTTTACTATTCAAAATGTTTTTGATATTGTTCTTTCTTGAAAATGGATGTTTGCTACAGTTAGTTTTACCACTGTATGAGTTAATATTACTGGAGGACGTTTACTTCCTCTGTGCTTCTTGCTCTGCCTGTGGAACTCCAGGGACACTGCCTGCTTGTCCGCCTTGCTGGCAACATGCTAGCATTCACATAGCATGACGAGAGCAGCCCACAACATGACAGACAGGCAGATAAACACGGCAGACAGACCGGCAGACTGGCAGACAGAGTGCGGAACATGTCACATGAAGTGCTATGAGAGACAGACAGATGGACAGAGGGTAGTGGTTCTGTTTTAGGTGGGTAGAGGATGTGTGCCCCTTCTACATGGAAACGAGCCCAAGAGAGACGAGGGGAGAACGGATAGTGCTACTGGTGGAGGGTGTCTTCAGGTTTCTGAAATTCAGTTGTCCAACCTTTCTGTGGTGCCTAGATTTGGCTGTCAGCGCAAATAAAATAAACACTGTCAAATAAAACCACAACCTGCATTTTTAATCTATTAATATTTTTTAATCTAAGTGTGTGCTTGTTCATTGTGTTGAGACACATATCTAACACATTCAGCTTATTGTATTCCACCTGTTCAGAGGCAGCTGAATGGAGTGCAAGTAAAACTAATGACTGAGCAAACAGAAAAACCAGTTGGTTTTAATCACTGTAACACAGAATTGATCCATTTTTGTTTTACTTCTTTTTTGCACCCTACTTTAAACACAGTCGGTTTATAAGATTTTCTGAACAACTCATATTTAAGCGGTGTTTTCAGTTACTTTTAATGTTACTTCGTGCCAAATAGTCTCACAAAATCAGCTTGCATGGCCAGAATGATGAAAGAAAAACAAACAACTAATGGACTGTCTAAAACAGGGTGTTGGATGAGACACCCATGGAGAAACACATGGAAAATATAACCCTTAGAGGACACGAAAATGAGAGACAGAGAGAGAAGCAGGTGGAGAAAACAGATTGAAGAAGCAGATAAACAGAAAAGAAGAGCGGAAACCAAAGAATAGATAAGGCAGTGAAAAAAGGGAGATACAAGGTGAGGGCCACGGCAAATCATTATAGCAGACAACCTCATCCTTCACTCTCTGATGCTCTCTCTCTCTCCCTCACACACACCATCCTCTCTAATCTAACTCCTGTGGCAGTGTGAATAGATACGGTCGTTTAGTGCCAGCAGCGCAGCTCCTGGTACCCAATGGCAGCAATCTGCTGAGTCAGGAGCTCTGCACTGCATGTTTGTGTGTCTGTGTGTGCATGTGTGCCTTTGGGAGTGTGCGCATATTAGTGAGGCCCACAGTGAGTTAGCGCAACAGCGTTTGTAAGATTTAGCTGAGTGCACGGACGTGTGCAGCACGACGGGCTCCACAAACTGAGCGCTAACTACACACACACAGCACAACATAGCCACAGGGGCAGGCTGACAACAGTTCACTATCATTACCACGCCGGCAAGACATCACTGGTATTACCATGACAACAAGCTTTCACTGTCATCACCATGACAGCTGCAGGTCACGACTAGTAGAACTAACAGGGCTCATTAACATGATCCGAGAGGAATGCAGGGCCAGCATCATTTCTTAACAATTATACTTCACATCAACTCAACAACCACAGTTTTTCATCATCTCCATTCTGTACAACAGACTGGAAGTCTGGCAGCCAATGGGAATTCAATGTCAGCCTTTGTTTCTTTGGAGGATTTTTGCCCATTTTTATACCATTTTAAATGTTTTTAAATCCTATAATCTACACTGTGTAATATGAGGCTCATTTCTAAAATAATGTGCTAATGTCACAAGATACTGGCGCTTTAAATATAGGTACTATTTGTTTACAGTTGAAAGAGTTCAGTATCACATGTATGTATTAATTCATTCACCCTAATCTGGTTGCCTGCTCGAGTGTTTGGTAGGTGTCCTCTGATTAGCAGCTTTTTACTGTGTGACAGCATATAGCCTGGAGTATACAGTATATCCACGGGACCATTTGTATGGCGTTAGGACTAAAACATAGTCAATAAGTGATGGACAGCGTTTGGGATTCTTAGTTTTTTCTCTCTTCGAGATGTGACTGTGGCAGCTCCCTTGTGTGTCTCAGCCTTTGACTGACTTCAGCTGGAACAAAATGCAGCTGCCACCGTAATGGCTGGTTCAAAGAAACGGGACAAACTCGAACCTGCTTTTTACGATTTCCATGTCTCTCAGTCAAATTCAGAAATGTTTTAACTGCTAACTTGTCAGTCTCTTCAGTTCCAGGCCTCTGGTTACATTCATGAGCTGTTGACCCTGTGAACATTGACAAATCCAGCAGCTGATTTATGCGTTGCACTTATTCAGATGGCGGTTGACGGTCATCCCCTCGGACAGATGAAGAGAGTCTGTGTGATTGTGGAAGGTATTCAGTGTCAAAGCTGCAGTCTGAAAATGGTTATGAGACGGGCTGTGATAAATAACAGTAGTGAGCTCCTGCACGGCATCCACAGTGTGGACAGGAAACTGCTTTGTGGAGTAGTTAGCTAAACCCAGCAAGAATGGTTTGCTAGCTTATGATCGAAATAATCAATCTCATGATTGTAGCTTATGATCGAAATAATCAATCTCAATGATTTCTAATCAGAAGAAATACATCATTTAATGAAAGGGAAGGGGGATACAATTTAAGTGGTCAGTTAAATTTTAAAATTCATGCTATAGGTACAACCAAAAAAAGATTCTGTATTTCCATAAGTGGGGTAAAACTATGGAATAATTTAAGTGTGGACATAAAAAATAGTACTAGAATTGACGAGTTTAAACATAAATATAAAGGTATGTGTCAATCAAGATATATGCAAGAACAGGCTTAATGATTAATTAGATGGAACATTGTGGGTGTGGGGTAAGAATGTTAACACTTTGTAATAATTCTTTAGTATATTACTTGTGTGGTGTAGAAGATAAGTATTTAAGAATGTAATTATGTAAGAATGTTAACACTGTTATAATTTTTTTTTGTATATTACTTGTGTGGTGTAGAAGAGAATCATTTACTGCTTGCAAACCAATGATGGTAAGATGATGTCATGGGGTAGGACTAGATAAGTCTGACTTCTTCCTACTCCATTCAAGCATGTACTAGGTATAAGCACATTGATATTGGATTAGCATTTGTTGGATATGTGTAAAATTATGTGTGTTGACATATCAACTGTCTTTACATGCTTGAAAGAATAAATCAAATCAAATCATTTAATTAGTTTACAAAGAAGAGGCCAGAAAACATAGTATCAAGTTAGCAAGAGACAGGTGGGTTGGCGGTTGACCCTCAGCTCTTTAGCGATCCCCTGTCCGTTCTGTGTTGACAAATTGGTCAAAAATGATCAAAAATTAATCATGGATTTAATAATAGTGAATATTTAGTCAAAATTGCTTTCATGGAGCAGAGGCTGGCAGCTTTTATTTTCTGCTTTTCCTACATCTCAGTTTGTTGTGCCAATAAAAGCACAGTCCAGCCCACTAAACGTCACTGGAAAGGTTACGTTTTGTAAATTATGTTATACAATGTTATACACAGATTTACCAGCAGGAGCGCTGCTTGTCTACCTCTGCCTCTATATCCAGGCCTTCGCTAAGATCCTTAGACTTAGTCTTACTAGATGTGTTAGATTGGAGTCAAAAGGTGCAGAGTCCTGAGGCTCTGGAACCGCCACAGTGAGGACCAGCAGTCAGGAAGAGCATGAGTGCAGAGCTCTTCTGAAAAGCTGTTTTTATAGCAAAATGCACACTGTTTAAAATGTTACTGTTCATATACTATTTTAAGCTTTTTAACTATTACTGTTGTCTCCTTGCCTCTGTTTTGTCTCTGCTTTGTCAGTGTAACAGTTAGAAAGGCAAGTTTTATTCACTGTTATTATAACCACTATTGAAACTACTCCAGGTGAACTGACAAAAATGCATACAATTCCAGAATGTTAAAGTTAAATATGGCCGACTATAAGTGGAAATTTTAAAAGATTAAAGCTACAAAGGTACTAGATTTAACCTGGTACCCCACTAAGATGATAGCTTGCCAACACAGCCTGGTCCATCCTCCCTGTTCTCCACCACAGAGCAGCTGCATGAAATGCATCGAGGTCAGTCATCTGTGTAGAGTAGATAGGAAATCGAGCTCCGTTTATGTGGATAGTGTGTGCCACGATATCTGGCTCAACTATTATTCCAGTGTTCTTTGCTCTGAAGGTGTCAAGTGTGGCCTACTGTGAAAAAATGATGACAGGCCATTGCCGAAACTGTCCACCCACCACGCTCAGTCAACAAGGGTTTGGCTGTAACTGTCACACACTTGAGCTTTCCAAATGTCTTTTTTTTCTTTTCTTTTTTGAGTCGACAGAGTGTGTGTTGGCAGCCATGGCTGTAGTGCGAGAGTGGGTGAAAGGTAGCAGTTTTTTACATTATAAGTTAGAGCAGTAACGACAGACACACTTGTGTTTCCTCTGTCTCACCTCCAGCCATGTCCTCTTCCAGCAGCTGTATCTGCAGGTGGAAGATCTTCTCCTGGAGGTCGCACAGGGTGTGTTTCATTTTCTCCCTCCGTGTCACCATGTAACACAGGTTACGCACCTGAAACACAAGACAATATCGTTGTCATGATTTAGCAGGGACAAACAAAAGCCTAACATAAAGCTTCTTAGTAAGGTGTTGGGCCACCGGGTGCCACCAGAACAGCTGATGTCCAGTTGTGTCACAACAAATACACAAACCAAACTCTACAGCTCAACAAATACACAAAGGACAGAAGAATAATGCAGCTATTTTGGCAAACCAGGTCTGATACCGTTAGCCCACTGTAGACTTCCTGCATAGCACCAAGTAGCAGACACTAAGTTAGTAACTAGATGGTGAATAAAGAATATATATACACAGTGATATTTAAAGTGCAAGACTGTTTTCATCAGGATCTGGAGATGACAAAAAGACTTTTTCAGGTAGATGTTAGTCTGTGTCTGCTGGATTAGAGTGTGTCTTTTTCGGTCTACTCTAGAGTTCTGTTCTTTCCTATAGTAGTCCAAACTGGAACAAAAAAACGTGTCAAAATAACAGCATAGCTGACTCTGTACAAGTGAATTAATCACTATTTACCCTGACAAAAATCCCATCACAAGATAAAAATAAATAAATCAGTGCATCAATATGTAACGTCAGAGGTTTATGTGCATCCAGTGATAAGATAATCAGAGGTAAGAGATCAGAGGCGACTTTCTGTTTCCTGCCAATAAACTGAATTCAAGAGTTGTCATGTCATCCTGCTCCACCATGCTGTCTGACAGTGCTGCAGTGGGTAGAGTAGTCGTCTCCCAACCGGAAGGTTGGAGGTTTGAATCTTGGTGCCTACGGTCCACGTGTCGAAGTGTCCTCGGGCAAGACACTGAACCCCCCAAGTTGCCTGTGATGGCGGCGTGTATGCACGCAGTGGCCCGGGCCCCTCAGCTCCAAACAAAATTTCGTTCTATGTGTCATGATGACAATAAAATAAAGCTCTTCTTATTCAGGTTCCTGAAACCAGGATACTCCAAGAGCTGAGATAATTATAGGGGTCCCGGTGCACATCTCAGACAGGCATTCCTAAAATAATGCTGGTTACAGATCGTGTCCCACCTACGTTTTGCTACAGCACCATAGAGATATATGCCATAGAGATATTTTTGTCATTAGCCATCTACGCCAGACTGTGGAAGTATAACCTGAGCTGATATGACTCTGGCAGCTCAGGCTAATAAAGCTAAGTGAGAGTCAGAGCAGCACTGTACAGCCTGTATCCCTACCCTCTAAATGTTTTTACAGCATCATGTCCACCACAGTAACGGATTACAGCTACTTAATGTGCTCATAGGCACTGTTGTATGTGGAGTTCAAAGCAAACAGCTATGAGCTGGAACAGACAATGACATTAATGTATGAGACAAATAATTTATCCTGTCCGTTTTGTGTCAGTGTATAGTATACAGTATACTGTGGGTAGCAGGTTGTGAAGATTTCCAGTCTGTGTACAGATCTGGATACACTACACTCCACATCCAACACAGCCAGTATAACAAAGTAAATGGAGAGGGAGAGAGGCAGGAAGAGAAACTAATTGGGTCCAAACCAGAGCACTTTGCAAACTAACAAGCCAGAAACTGGATCTCTGCCAACTGGATTTCTCTCACAATAGTAAATCAGCAATGATGTATCTCTAGCCATACTGTATCCATGAGTATGTGTGCAGATTCAGGTATTCAAGAGGAAGAACAAGCAAGGGAATACAAATATAAAGTCATATAACAGAAAAATATTACACTGATGGGAACACAACATGAAACCATGTCACAGACCGGAGCTACTTGTAGTGGACAGTATGTATGTAGGTGAAACAGTACCGCCAGTGTTTGGATAGTAGTAGCAGCTTGAGTTGAAAAATATGATCTGTCACATTAAGTAAAATCATTTCAGCTGCTATTTCAATGTGGCAGATACACATTTAATCATCATTTACTGCAGGGAAATAACTATCAAACTGGACTTGATATTTGGCAGATGTCCACAACATTTGCCCTCGGACTGAGGCCAGTACATGATGGGCTACTGTACATGGATATATTGATAGGGTATAACCTCAGACGCAACAACCAGCAACAGAAACATCACATTCTAACCTACAGTAAATAATATGACAGTGCCCACAACAGGAAGTCAGTCCAATGACAGAAAGCTTGTGCACACTACTTCCAAAAGACAGGCCTAAGTCAAAGCATTGAGAAAGTATCTCATTATTTTGAGTTACTAAGTCATTATCTTTTCTCTTTATTAGTATTATTATTATTTTTACTACATTGTTTCAATAGCATTGTGTCCTGCTGATGAATTGCTTCTTGTTAACCAGACTATATGTTATTTCTCACGTTCTACTGCTCTGTTTCCTCACTTTTTCAAATTCGGCACAAATCTCCACTTGAACTCAAGGGTGAACTTTAGTTGTCTAAGGTCAACATCACTGTGACCTGGATGGCAGAGGCATATAACAGCAAGGCAGTAATTATAGCTTTTAGCTTGTTCTGATGTTATCTGCCCATGGTGCTGCAGATAAAAATAGCTTCTCAACTGGGACACAATGTGCAGAGCCTGGCTTTGATTAGGACACTGTGCGTGTGTGTGTGTGTGTGTGTGTGTGTGTGTGTGCTGTTCTCAAAAGCAACTACCTCTGCCTGGACACATGACAGGGGAGAACAGGATGGGAGGAGAAGAAGAGGATGAACGACACATAAAGAGGGGAAATTGAACCTTGCTGTTTTTGTTTTCTCCTTTATCCCCTGGTACTTCATCTGCACATTTCACTGACTATCTTTCTCTCTGTCCTCCAAACTGTGAATATGGAAAAACTGTCTTAAGCACTAAGTAGCAGTGCGGTCATTTTCCGTTTCTTATTTCAGCAGACTGAAAATGAACCAAACCAATGTCATTTTTGTTGGAAGATGAAGCTGAAACATGAACAACAAATAACACACTTCTGTTCATTCATCTCGAATCTGTGAAAGAAGTGCTGTGTTAATTTGTTGTGTAATAATAACACTTGTATTTAATATAGATTTTTTTGGAGTGAACAGAACTCTTCTGTGTTTCGGCACAGTTTCTGTGCGAACCTTTACCAACTCCCTCCGTTATTCTTTCCTCCACAATTTAATCCTCCCATCTCTACTGAAACCTCTTATCTTGTCTACACATCTGCACTTCAGTCCGTTATTTCACTCCTCTTTAACTCCATCTGTCTTTTTCCAGTCTGTCGGAGCCTGTTCATTCATCCTGAGCAGCTGTCCATCTCAAAATCAACAAACACAACACTGCTCCATTTTTATCCGCCTCATTTAGACATGTTCACCCATAGACAAAATCTGACGACATGTGGTAGGTTAAATGTGTCTGACATGACTTGGCACCAAAAACAGTTTGACAGTTAAATCCAGTGTCTCTTTGAGGGAGAGCCAATGAAAGCAAAGCAAAGAAACGGAATGGAGGCGCGGACAAGATTTCACTGTTTATCCTCTGATAAAGAAACATGATTATAAAAGTATCAATATTTTTATAAGCCTGGCAATCAGGAGTGATTATTTGTCTTTGGATATCTGCCTGAAGTGAAATATGCCTTTTTGGTTACAAGGGTTTAATCTGAAAATAGAGAACGCTTGTGAATATGTTCATACACGGAACATGAAATGACCGTGCAGACAATATCGCCTCTGTTTATCCAAATCTTTCTGTCTTGGCTGGTGAGAGATCTGCTTGCTCATGGCCATTTCTGTACCCTCTGGCTATGCCAAAGTCAGTATGACATACAGTATCTGTGGACGTGAGATTCATTAATCTGGCTGGCAGAAATTGGATTTGGCAGATAATTTGCATTCAGCAGGTGCACCAAAGAGGTGACTGAAAGCACAGGTTGTAAAACTAAATCAGCAAAATAAATCCATCAATGCAACATCTATCTTTTTTTTTTTAAATAGAGAATGCAAGACAACAAGAAGCAGCAGAAATCTGTATGCATCCATCTGCTACTCCTGGTATTGGCTCATCTATCCTCTATCCTCCCTTAATCCCTGAACCCACCTCCTTTCTTTCTCATCTATCCATGACCTGATACGCTGGAGATGATCAGCATTAGAAGTGTATTAACTGTGCTGAGCAGAGCCAACGCCTGTCGTGCACACTGTCCATATCTCTCTGCGAGTGTGGATTCTCAGCTCAACACACAAAGAATCATACACAAACTATATGCTTATGAGTGGTGAGTCACTTGCTGACTGTTTATCTTTCTCTCTCTCTTTCTCCCATGTGCGCGTACACACACGCACACAGAACAGTCAGCAGAGCACTGGCTGTCATCAACCACAAATTACATCAACAGGTGTTTGGCAGGAATGGACCATGCCCTGTTTGTGTGTGTGCGTGTGTGTGTGTGTGTGTGTGTGTGTGTGTATGTGCGTGTGAAAACAAGGGAAAGTGAATGAGTTGCACTGTATTTGCATCGCTGTCCCTGTGAGGACCAGTGTGAGCTTTAGTGAAGTTAGAGAAGTGAAGACATTTTGGAAAAGTGAGCATATATGTGTCTAGTTCACACTTTGACACCCATTCAAAGAGCTATCTGAGGGTTCAGACCTGGTTTTACGATCCAGGTGAGAATCTGGTTTAGTGTTATGTTTAGAGTTACGCATTTAGTTGTGATGGTTAAGCTGAGGCTAAGGGCTAGGGAACGCAGTATGTCACTGAATGTTTGTGAGAAGGAATGGGTGAACAGGGAAATAGTGCTAAAGCGCTTTGAGTGCACTTCAGTGCTATACAAGTACAAGTCCATTTGCCATTTACAAAGATAGAAGTACAAAGTGTGCACAGTGACAGAGAGAGAAAGGTCTGAGAAAGACAGCGTGTGTCTATGTGTGTGCTGAGCCAAGCGGAAATGCAAGAGCTGCGTCAGAACTAATTCCCAAACTGATCTCTGAGATGGAGATAAAAACCCAACGGACGTGTGTGTGTGTCAGTCTGGAGGAAACTGGAACATGTGTCTGTCTGTATTTGTCTGAGAAATGGAGACA